GGGTCCTCCGGAGGACCCGGCCTGTCGTTTTGGACACAGCCACAGGCTATTTGTTAGTGTGTTGGGTGACCATATTTTTTTTATAGTAAATCAATTATTAAAATCTAAAAGCTGCCACAAATATAATATCAAAATATTTTACGTCATATTTGGTCTAACAATTTGAAAACATGAATGAAATAAGAAATATGAAACAAACCAAAATCAAATAAAACATACTTAGTATTTTCAAATAGAATTTTTGGGGATAAAATGGCACTATATCGCAATATATCGAATAGTGACCTGTCTGTCATGATATGTATCGTATCGCCAAATTCCAATACACAGCTCTACTAACTAACTGCTGATGAATTATTATATGCAACAAAACGTCACTTCAAAATGTCTGAACTTTCCCTTTAAGTAAGCATCAGTAACATCGGCCTCTATTTACCTGAAGTTTTTTGGGAAACAGCCTTTTTTCTTTTCATTGCTATAACTTGGCAAAAGACATCTACCTAATTACCATGCCAGCAATGTTTACATGCTTGTGGCATGTCTCTAGTGCATGCAGAAAAAAAAACATCTTCGGAGTGAGCAGATAAAACAAAGTATAGCACCTGTCTGACAGAGCCTGATTTAAATGGAACAAAGAGTTCGGCGCCCTGACTGGTCCAGACTTTCAAAAACCCAAACACGCCACCTGGCTTTTCAAGTGGTGATGTTTATGTTCACAAACACCCCTCTCCCCCTCCATTTACCATATGTTATCTTAAATTGTTATAGCACAGCGCATTTATTCCGTCTCAGCGTGTTTTGTTATTTAATTTGCTGTGATGGAAATGATGCAATTTAAAAGCAGCAGTTAAGTATGGTTTTTATTTGAAAACGTGTTCAAATGTAAATTTTATTCAGACTGAAAAGCAGAAAGTGTCTCAGAGAGCATAAAATAGCCTTAAAGCAAAGGGATGAGAGCAACAACCAGGGGTCAATATGTTAATCAAATAACAAATATTTCCATCCACGGTTTGAAATTTAAATACGTCCTTCTTAGAATCAGAATAATGCATTTTTTTAATTGTTTGTTTCTCTGTTTTCCTCTCCACACCACCATCCTCTACTCGTCTGTGTTGTTCAGTTTCCTGTTAAGTTTTCTTGAAAAGTGCAAAGTGATGCAAATAAAGCAAACAGAACTGCTACAGTTTACTGCAAACCCCCTCTGCTGGTCAAAATGACACATCAGCAGGCAGGTTCTGCTGAGGTTTAAGCTTGTTTAATAGGATATATCCATCCATCCATCCATCCATCCATCCATCCATCCATCCATCCATCCATTCATCCAGTTAGACAAGTCGGAGTCTTTCATCCTGTCAATGAAAGGTGACCCTCTCCCTCGCAAGGGAGAACCCCAACTCCATGGTTTTCAGTCAGGGGCTTCTCACTACACGTCAGTGTTGTGGTTTTTATCAATATAAGTACTCATGCAAACATATCAAAGTGTCTATTCATTGAAGCTATACTTACATAATTGTGCTAACATGCTTTCACTGACAACACCATCATCTGCTGTCAAAGAAAATGTCTTAGAGTTCTGCACCCAACATTAAAAGGCTTCGATTTTCTGCCTGCTCTCACCTTTTTCTATCACGGTTTATAAAGTTTGAGCAATCCTGCTCACAAACAACAGTAACAAATGGTAAATGGACTGTACTTATATAGCACTTTTCTATCCATCCAGGACACTCAAAGCTCTTCACACTACAATCTGTGTCCTCATTTACCCTTTCACACAGCACTTTATTAGGTCTCTACAAAGCTAACATACACAATCATCTGTGGAGACTAATCAGTGCCAAACACATTCATACACTGATGGGACACACATCAGTGTATGGGGATTGAACTGGCAACCTACTGGTTCCAGGACGACTCCCCTAACCACTCAGCCACAGCCGCCCCTAATGCTAATTTCACCAAAGGTCAAATGTTTTACTAATGGCTGTCAGATAAAAGCTCAAGGTAACAAAAGGCATACGCATTTTATTTTTGAGGGGGATCAAGGAAATGAAATTGAAGCCAGATGGCAGGTTTTATGAAAAATTTCAAATAACTTACTTTACACTAAACAAGTCACACACACACACACACACACACACACACACACACACACAC